GTTGGATTTGTATGTAAGTCGGAACTGGTACATATTGTAGGGGAAACTCTAGCCAAACATTTCTCCAGAGCTCAGTTTTATTCTCCCACACCTCACTTCCCTCAGTCCTTTATTCTCAAGCTGAGGTGTCTGCTGAGAAAAGCCGCTCCGCATCTCCCTGGTCTGCAGGAGGGGGTGGGGCGCTAGCTTTGCATCTCCCTGGTCTGCTGTGGGGAAGCAGCTAGTGCAGGGTTGCCTCACCCCGTTTGTAAGTAGGGATCCGATGTAAGTCGGATCCATGTAACCCGGGGACTGCCTGTATATGCAAATAGTTTTTTTCACACTGACAGGCATGAATACAAAGATTAAGGCAAGAGACTACACAACACACAGGCCCCATTTCAGTCAGTTCTGCTCACATTAATAAAATGCAATATTTATCCAATTTCTACCCATATGATAGTATTTATACTAGCAATGACAGTCCAAGAATTTAACTACTAAAACGCATATCAACAGAAGACCATTATTTTGACTACTTTTTTGTTTTGACTCCCACGCGCGGGCTGCGTGTTGAGCCCCGCATAAACCCAAACCACACTGTGGGCCACAAACAAATGAGCCGCAGGCTGCATGTTGAGTAGCCCGGCTTTAACTAAACACAAATTTAAAGCAGCACATTTATAAGCTCTGTTGGCATTTGATAAGGAATCTATTAATTTTTCATTGAGCAGTACACTATTTGAGGCAGCCAGAATAGATGAGTATATTTTGTAGCCTTTCTTGAAGGAAGTTAGATATCCTAGATCCACTCTTCTGGATTTTATCCTCAGGAATGAGATTCACAGCTGAACAATAAATGAAATTGATTTGGATACCTCTCCAGTATCAATCATGTGAACTGTGAGTGCACACGGTATCATCTTGATTTCTCATTCTCAGATCCCTTTGTTCCCAGGAGGTATAGAAGGCTGAACATTGTCACGTGTCTCCTGTTGTTTTCAAATGATACAAATTGTGATATGTGATATTAGTATATGGGCTCTCTTTTCTTCAGACAATTGTTTTAGTTGACTACACAAGATATTCTTTATTTGTGAACCAGCTTAATTTTAAAATGATTGAAAAGTGGTAGCCCTTAAGCTTTGTTGTGCTATTAAGTATGGGATTGTACGTGCATATTGCACATTCAATTGCCTGTCTACTAGGAATGTTAGATACCATGTAATTGAATAATCATGTAACCACATCAGATTTTAGCAGTTACATGACTATTCAATAGTCCTTGGGGGCTGGGCCAGCAGCAAGAACACTCCAGCCCCACTCCTAGGGAGCCCTCTGCCACCCCATGCTGCTGCCTCTGATAGCAGGTGGGAGTTGGTCTGCAAGGGGAGCTGGTTTAAAAACAGCAGTCCTGAGTTTCCCATGGATAGAGGCTGTTCTGCGGCAGGCTCCCCTGCCCTCCCCTCTCCCCCGTGCTGCTGCCCTTCATAGAGGCAACAGTGCGGGGCAATGGTGGGTGGGAGCAGATGAAGCCGCTGCTCAGGGGAAGCTGGCTTTTAAAAGCCAGGTCCCCCCCAAGCACCAGCTCCTTACTTTCCCCTCCCTGCCTTTGTGGGAGGCAGCAAGGGGTGGGTGGAGAGCTGGCTTACAATCTGATTCCCCACACATATCAGCTCCCACCCCTCCCCCTGCCTCGCACTGCTGCCTCTGATAGAGAGGCAGCAGTGTGGCATGGGGGAGCAGGTGGCACTGCGGGACCCGATACATGCAGGCAGTCAGCTTGAAAGCCGGTTTCCCGCATGTGCCAGCACTCATCTTCCCCCGCCCCTCACCTTCTACACTCCTGCCTCTCTATCAGAGGCAGCAGCGTGGGGTTGCAGGGCTCCATGGGATCTGGTGCTCATAGGGAGCTGGCTTAAAAGCCAGCTCCACATGTGTACTGGCACCCACCGCTCACCCCCTTGCTGCCCAGGCTCATCAGTTAATCGTGTAGTTGACTACATGTTGACATTCCTACTGTCTACTTTTTTAGAGCTTGTAAGTACCTTAGTTAGCATTAGCTAATATATGTAAGACAAATGTAAGGCAGTTCACACTATTTTTGAAGTTCTTGTTTCATTCTTAAAAAGAGCTACTGATGTTTGAATTGAGAAGATTGTCTTCCAACACTAAATAATAGAATTTTTTTAATGAAACCTTGGACTGTCTAGAATCTGAATGTCTGCACATTTACCAAAATAAATTGGTAAAAATACTTTTATTTTTGTATTTATAAAAGTATTTATAATAAAATACTTTTATTAGCATATCCACTTTAAGGGTTGCACACTTTTAACTGTATCAGTATCTAAACAGGTATAGTTAAATCTATATAAAAATGTAAAAAAATCAATACAAAATCAATACAAAACTTTTAAAAGTGAACACTTGAAGCTAAACGGAAAAATACTTGTCATAATTACATAGCAAACACTTAATGATTTTTAAGTAAAAGTATTAAAAGTATTGTGTTTAAATTATTAAAATTTGAAAGACTGTACCAAACAAAATTAAATTTCATTCTTTTTATACACCAGTAATTTAGGAAAATTCTAATCTAAAAAAGAAGTGACATATTTGAGAAATAAATGCCTTGTATAAAATAGGTTTTGCTTCTTTTTACTGAATGTGATATTAGAAATTCAGTTGAAGGCTTTGGGGGGGGGGGGGGGAAACATGAGCTAGAAAAAAACTTAAGAAAAATATTGACATGGGATGGTTCAAATTTCAGTAAAGTGATTCAGTTCCATTCTCAAATCATTCAATTTGGAATTTCAAATAAATGGACTTGATGGTTCCATATGCCCCTGATATAGGACATTTTCCAATCGGGTTGTGAAAATGTTGGTTCCTAAATTCATATTTAGACACCTAAATAGAAGTAGCTTTGCTTTTTTAGAGATGTTGAGCAAACCCAGATTCTATTTATGGTAATGAAGACTGCAGGAGCTAAGCACCTTTGAAAAATACTATGTCTGGTTTTTGTATACACAGTCAACCTGTGGAACTCCTTGCCAGAGGATGTGGTGAAAGCTAGGGCTTTATCAGGGTTCAAAAAGAGCTAGATAGATTCATGGAGGTTAGGTCTATCAATGGCTATTAGCCAGGATGAGTAGGAATGTTGTCCCTAGCCTCTGTTTTTCTGGATGTGGGTGACACGGGAAGGATCACGTGAGGATTACCTGTTGTGTTCCCTCTCTCCGGGACATCTGGTATTGGCCACTGTTGGTAGACAGGATACTGGGTTGGATGGACCAGTGGTCTGACTCAGTATGGCCATTCTTATGTTTAAATACAGATTATGGGGCATATCTTCAGAAACCTAGGACTAAGTTTAAATGGTTAAATAAAGTTAGTGATGTAACTTTGAAGATGTAAAATTGTGTTGTTCTGGGTTTCACCCAGGCAAGTCAGAGGCTCAGTCTCTATTTGCTATGTAATCCTGGGTTCCTTGTGACTATGTAGCGTTGGTCTAGGTTAGCGTTAGGGCTCCAATATCAGCAGTCCACAAGTCTTACTCTGGCTTTGTCCAATTAGATGGCTCCTTGCAAGGTGACTTTATTACCTTTTTAGTCTTATATTTACTCTAAAATCATCCTACTACAGAGACAAGTCCATCTCACTCGACCATCCCAGAGAAATTATAGTAAAGACAGTTTAAAAAGACGGTAAAGCACTCCAACCTGTTAGCTTTTCAGAAGAACACACTTCACTGAACTTAAACATATACTTCTGGGGTGAAGGAGCCATGTTAATTCTGTGTGTCTGTCATATCTCACAAGGCATATTTTGTACAAATATTATTTCAGAAATCTGTATGATGTGGATACAAGGGTGTCCAGAATCAGAAAAATATGTTAGTATATTTCAAGAAAGTGAATTAAGGTGGCTTTGAAAGCCTACACTTTTGATTTCCTAAATTTTCTGTGGTAAATTTACAAACTTAATCATTGCATTAATATAGCATTTAATTCTTCCTTTAAAAAATAAATACAGGGCAATATGTACGTGTGTGTGTGTGTGTGTGTATACAGCATATGCATATATATTTATACGATGTCACAAATTTCTACAAATATTCTGGGATTACCTTTTAGTTTGTCAGCTTTTGAATTTCATGTGTTGAGACAGACTTTCAGAAGTGTGGATCTGTTAAACTTATTTCCTTGAGTGAACGAAAGAGAAATGAAAATAACAAAAGGATAGATTTGGTAGAAAACATTTAAATTACTTTAACTTGGCCTCCGTGTGTTTCTAATGGAGCTTGAAATTAATATCGCTGTTTAGTTAACTAACTTTTGTGCACTTTATATCAGCGTAATTCTGGGAATACAGTTCATTATTACTGTGGTTTAATTGTTACAGTTATTGTAGCAAAGGAGTTACAAAAGGATAAAATTATAGGATAATGAAATAATTAAAGGAATAATTGTAAATAGTGGTTTTACTTGGTTGTACATACTCCATCGATCTTCATAAAAACATTAAATGACAACAGTGTACCTTTAAATATGACAGTGTTTGAATAGTAGGTTTATATTACCCATTGGCTGTCATAAAATTATAAGATTTTTATCAGCTTATTTACAATATTTTAGATTCTCTTAATAGATTTTAAAATCATTGTTCTTAAACAAAAATGAAATCTAGACTGTGTGGTTAGGTGTATTTACATATAAACATGTGATCTGCCATATAAGAATGTTTGCTTCCGACTTTATGTGCAGAACATTTTATGAAATCAGGTCAGTTTTTTAATTTTTATGTTTGTTCATATTTATTAATGATAAAGCCCTCTTTAAAAGCTTTCTTTTGGATATGAATAGAAAACAACAATGTTGAAATATTTTGTAACACATTCTACAAGCTTGTTTCTGTCATTCATCTTACTTATGTTGTCTGGGTAAATGCTCACTAATAGTCTTTGAACTTCTTTCTCTGTCCCCTTCTTTTTTCTACCATGTTTTTGCTACCTTTAGCGCTTCAGCATGGAAGGGATCTCAAATGTCATTCAGAATGGCTTCCGCCACACATTTGGAAACTCTGGTGGAGAGAAACAGGTGCTGGGTTATCCTCTCACTTTTCCTCATTCTTTGCTTGGTGCTATTGTAGAAATTAAGATCTTGAACCCTGGCATCAATAGCGTGTTTAGTGCTCAGATTGAAACATTAACTTCTATATGCTCACCCCATCCTCTCCTGCCTTCAGGGTAACAGTTGGCAGATAGTATCTTTTTTATCTCCATTCAAGTCATGATATGCATGAAATAATTCACTAAAATAATAGCCTCCTCCAAGGCTTCATTTCACTTCTCAAAATTAAAATAAATATTAGCATAAAGCATGCTAGAAATGTATTGCATGTATATAAAACTTACTTTAGAAAGATATATCAGATACATTAGAAACTTCACTCCAGTCTTAAGCTGCAGGAGTAAAGATATTAAGAAGCTAGTAATTGACTAATCGTGTACTCGATACAATTTGAATGTAGTAAGAGCCAGGTGCGCAGTCAGGACTGAGTAGTCTGGCTCGCACAAGGTCCCCTGCTGCAGCTCTGTCTTTTTATGAAGTAAAAGCCAGGTTGCTCTTACTGTGTTTAAAGAGCAGAGGTGCAGTGGCCCGGGACCTGGTGCAAGCCAGGTTGGCTGAGTCCCGGTTTGTGCCAGGTCCCGGACCTACCTCCGCTGCAGCGCTGCAGTTTAAATGTAGTAGGAGCCAGACTGCCTGCCTCTACAATTAAAATGCAGAGCCTCAGATGGGCCCCTTATTGACTAAGCGTGCACTCAAAGCAAATTGTATCGAGTACACGATTAGTCAGTTACCCGCTTCTTAACGTCCTTAACCTGCAAAAGAGGTTACTACTGTCAAAAGCTGGTTTAGCACTTCAACAAACTCTGGTTCCAGATGTTTAGCCAGTGACGTCCTTCAAGGGTTTGCCTTTCTTTAAAACTTTGAATAAACACATATTGCTTAAATAATATTCTTTTAATAGATTATAGTAAGAGTTGGTCACAATGTAAATTGTCATACCTTTAAATTAACAAAAATATTTAAAGTAAAAATCCATATTTTAAAGTAATCAATTTTTGTCCATATGGAGTTAGAACAGTTTCTTCTTAACTCCTGGGTAACTGATTTATGAGGATCTTGTATATGAAAATCTACACTCTTGTGGAATAACTGTGATTGCATTTTATTTTATTTTTTACTGAGCTGATGAATCCTCTTATGAACCACTAGATATCTCTGAGTGCAGATTTCTAATATGGAAAATGTTATTCTTGATAGCACATTAATCTATCAGTGTTACTTTTATTGTTCCAGAACTTTTATTCTCATGGCACAGACTGTTCTTCACAAATTAAGCCTTAAGTAGATACCTTTGCAAACTTGAAATGACGAAAGCTTTAGAACTATATGGGAGTTAATAGCTGAATCTTAGAAAATAAGGAAAAGATCAGTTAGACTGTAGAAAATTACATGCAGAAATTGGAATTAAATGTGTAACTCCTATTTTCTCTTGGATCATCTGTGTTTGTCCAGGCACTTGGATTACTAAGTTAGATAGTTCTTCTCACATTGTGACTTCATTGTTTTGGGCCCTGAGGTAGCTTCAATCGAACTAGCTCAGATATGTCTATTTGCGCTGTAGTCACAACCCATGATTGCAATGTAGGCATACCATAAAACTTTTGATTGTCATACTCTCCTATGTAAGAATCAGGCCACCTCTCAGCCATCCATTGTTTCTGTCTCGAGCAGATAGAGAACATTGTCCTGACCAGCCTCCCATCTATTCCTTCTCTACTGCTGAGTATTTAATTTGTTGAAACTCTGAAGTAGAGGGGAGAAGGAAGGGTAGTATATCATCCGAGTCCAAGTAGTGCATCTGCTGTTGCATACTGTTCTAATGCATAATGTTGTGTAGATGTATGGGCAGAGGACCGGGTTGCTGCTCTAGTGATATCTGTTATGTGAACAGCCAGCATGGATTTATAAAGAACAAATCATGTCAAACCAATCTGATAGCTTTCTTTGATAGGATAAAAAGTCTGGTGGATAAGGAGGAAATGGTGGATGTAGTATACCTAGGCTTTAGTAAAGCATTTGATACGATCTCTCATGTTTATCAAAAACTAGGGAATGCAACCTATATGGGGCCTACTATAAGGTGGGTGCATAACTGGCTAGATAACTGTTCTCAGAGAGTAATTATTAATGGCTCACGATCATGCTGGAAGGACATAACAAGTAGGGCTCCACAGGGGTACAGAAAGGAGTACTACAGAGAGGGAGCTAAGGGTCATAGTGGACCACAAGCTAAATATGAGTAAAAAATGTGACATCATTGCAAAAAAAGCAAACATGATTCTGGGATGCATTAACACGTGTTGAGAGCAAGACACAAGAAATCATTTTTCCGCTCTACTCCACACTGATTAGGCCTCAATTGGAGTGTTGTGTCAAGTTCTGGACACTACATTTCAAGAAAAGTGTGGAGAAATTGGAGAAGGTCCAGAGAAGAGCAATAACAATTACTAAAGGGCTAGAAAACATGACCTATGAGGGAAGACTGAAAGAACTAGGGTTGTTTAGTTTAGAAAAGAGAAGACCGAGAGGGGACATGATAGCAGTTTTCAAGTACCTAAAAGGGTGTTACAAGGTGGGAGGAGAAAAAATGTTCATCTTAGCCTCTGATGATAGGACAAGAAGCAATGGGCTCAAGTTGCAGCGGATGAAGTTTAGGTTGGATATTAGGAAAAACTTCCTAACTGGCAGGGTGATTAAACACTGGAATGAATTGCTCAAGGAGGCTGTGGAATCTCCAATACTGGAGATATTTAAGAGGTTAGATTCACACATCTGTCTGGGATGATCTAGAATGGATGGATGATGCTTGGTCCTGGCATGAAGGAAGGGGACTGAACTTGATGACCTTTCAAGGTCCCTTCCAGTTCTAGTATTCTATGATCCTATGATTTTTCAGAAAGTCAATATTATCCTGGGGATTGCAGGTTATATTGGTGATAACACAGCTTGATGCAATCCAGAATTCATTTGGAAAGCCTCTGTTTGGATATGGCACCTCCTTTTGTTCATTCAGTGATTGAAATGAATAATTTCAGGGACCTGCAGAATGGTTTCATTCTGTCAACATGGAATCATAGAATACTAGAACTTGAGGTTCATTCCAGGGGTCTTCAAACCCAGTACCCTGTATTCATGGCAGATGTTTGTCTAACCTGCTCTTAAAATTTTCCAATGATGGAGATTTCACAACCTTCCTAGGCAATTTATTCCAGTGTTTAACCACCCTGACAGGAAGTTTTTCCTCATGTCCCACCAAATCTCCTTTGCTTCAATTTGAGCCCATTGCTTCTTGTCTTATTTGCAGAGATGGAGGAGAATAATTTTTAAATACTAGGGGTGTTAGATATCAATTAATTTAATAATCATATAACTGCATCAGCACTTAGCAATTGCACAATTTTTCAGTAGTCCCTGGGGGTGGGGCTGGTAGCCAGTGCACTCTTGGCCCCATTCCTGGGGAGCCCCCTGCCACCTGCACTGGTACCTTTATATCAGAGGCAACAGTGCAGGCTGTCAGGCGGGAGCAGGTCTGCAAGGGGAGCCAGTTTAAAAACCTGCTCCCTTTGCAGACTGGCTCCCTGCTGCTGCCCCGCACAGCTGCCTTTAATATGGAGGCACCAGCATGGGGTGGCAGCAAACCATGTCTGCAAGGGGCCTGCATGCGCTGTGGACAGAGGCTGTGCCAGCATCTCACAGAGCAGCCTCGGGCCTAGGTTTGCTGCAGACAGCAGCATATAGGGATATTAAATTGAGGTTAATAAGCTAATCGAGTAGTTCATGGAATTTTTATCAACTACTTGATTAATCGATAAGGGGGAGTCGCTCGCAACCCCCTCTGTGGCTCTGTAATTCCTCATTTAAACTGAAGAGCCGCAGCAGGCTTAGCCCCCGGGGGCAGCATGAGCCAGGACTAAGCCGTTCCGGCTTATGCCAGCCACAGGCGCTAGCCCTGCTGTGGCTCTGTTTTACTACTTTTAAAATGCTGAGCTTAGTCCTGGCTCATGCCGACCCTAGGAGCTAACCCTGAGCTGGGACTAAGCAGTGTCAGCTTGTGCTGGTTCAAGGATGCTGCAGCTCTATCTCACCCTCATTTCTCCCCTCCCCCTCCTCTGCCCTCCCACACCACGGAGATAGTACTGGGGGGCACTGTCTTTTAAACCGGCTCCCTGCAGCACCAATTCCTGCTTCCCCTACCCCCCTTGCTGCCTCTGACACAGAGGCAACAAGGGGCAGGAAAGCAAGTAGTTGACTCGCATATGCTTATTGGGTAGTAGCTACTCCCTTAAATCCCTAGCCACAGACAGAAGCTCCTCCATGACAGCCTCCCCTTCTCCCCACCCCCACACTGCTGCCTGCCCCTCAATGCTGGTACCTCTATCAGAGGCAGCAGTGTGGGGGTGGGGAGAAGGGGAGGCTGTCATGGAGAGGGGGTGGGAACTGATGCCTCTGGGGAGCTGGCTTCAGGAGGGGGAATGAGTGTAGTCGATAAGATTAACCAGTAAGCCTAGGCTTATCAGTTAATTGTGTAGTTGACTACACATTGACATCCCTATTAAATACCAGGGCCCTGAAGGTGATAAGAAACATGTTGGATCATTATCCAGCTATACCAGAAGGACAGGAGACACTGGATGTAATTCAGTCAGGCCTGCCTGCCTGCACGCACGCCCAGCTCCTACTACATTAAAATTGCAGCACCGCAGCGGGGGTGGCTCCTTATCGATTAATCGTGTAGTTGATAAAAATTCTATTAAATTTTTAAACTACACAATTAGCCAATTACCTGCCTCTTAGCATCCTTAGCCCCGAAAGGTCCTGGTATTTTGCCACTCCCAAGGATGGAAGGGTGAGTGCTGCTCTGTCTGGTTTGGGAAAAAGTGGTTTCTCCTGCCCAACTTGCCCTTTATCAAATCCCCAGCTCTTTGGGGTTCTGGAGGATGAATCAACATCACAAGGTTGTCCCACTCTGTTTTTGAAGAAGCGTTTGTGTCTCCACCCCCAAAAGCAATATACCTTAGCAAACCAGACAACACTCCCTGCTATCTCCCCATCTCCACTTCAGATGCAGTCATCTCAAAAAAAATCATGAAAATCCTGGCAATTTTTTCTTGAAGTCCAGAAGTTTAAGTAAGACAGTGGTCCTCAGCTGACATCTCAAGATTATCAGACATTCATATGTAGAAGTGCCATAAATTACAATTGTTGCTTCCTGTGCTGTGAAATGGCTTTCTCCAGCATAAAGAGCAGCAGGCATATCATATGAGCATATCTATCAGCCATTGTGCAGCAATTTTTCCTTGTCACAACTTGTCACCCTCTCCCCAACAATATAGAGAATCTAATCTGAATTTTTAAACTACAATCTTAAAACAGATTGTCCTTCAAGATCCCAAGAAAATTAAGACAGATGTGCAGGAAAATATGAAAGCAAAAAGTCCTGATCATGCATTTTGCTGAACAAAAAATGGTGGCCAGAGATAGAGAAGTGAAATAATTAATTCTAACAAGGGTTGTATCCCTAGTTTGTAAATGGGTTATAAAAGTTTATAAACTTTAAAGAAAGTTTTCCACATTTTGGTGAGTTGAAAGATTTATTTTACTCTTTAAGAATGCAGAGACTTTACAGTGTAATCAAGATTTTGAGCTTTGAATATGTTCTACAAATAACAGTCTTCATTACAGACAATATTTACCTGTTGGATCTCACTGGAAACAAATAAAAAATTGATCGAGTGATTGAGATTGTTTACAAAGTGCCATATGCTTACCTCCACTGAATAGTGCACATATGACTAAATTGTGGGGGGGGGAGGGGGGCGGGGGGGATTAAAGATAAAGGTCCAGATTCTAAAAGATATTTAAGCACCTAATTCCCACTGAAATGCAAATTAGACATCTGAATACCTTTTAAAAAATTGTCCTAAAGAATTTGATATCTACAGAAAGTTTGGAGGAAACAAGAGGATGGGTGGAGCCCGTGCAGCATATTCCAACCTAAATGTGGCAGGAGTTAAAACAACTAGTTGCAGAGACTAACAAAACTAATATATAGTATCATGAGCTTTCATGGGCAAAACCCACTACTTCAGAGAAGTTCTTCAAACTCCTCTGAAGAAGTGGGTTTTGCCCACAATAGTTCATGACACTATATATTGTTTTTGTTAGTCTCATAGGGCATGTCTATACTAGGAAATTATTTTGAAATAACTTATTACAAAATAATCACACCCAAAAGAATGATTTTGAAATAATGTGGCCACACTACAGGAAAGCCTCAAAATAAGTCTGAGACAAGCTCTCTTAATGTCGATGTGCTACCTCGACTTAGAGCCCCAGGAAGCACTGAGGAGTAATTACTTTGAATGACTCTGGGAAATAGTTATTTCAAAATAGCATCAGTGGAGCATCCACAAACACTATTTTGAAATAATCATTATTACTAGTGGAATGTAGGAGTTGTTATTTTGAAATAACCAGTCTCTTATTTCAAAATAATGGCCTTGGTTATGTGAATGCTCTGCTTGTTATCTCAAAATAACTTTCTACTGGAGACTAGAGCTAAGGTGCCACAGGACTCGTCATTGTTTTTAAAGGTTACAGTCTAACACAGCTACCCTTCTAAGACAATATTGAACTGTTCTAGTAAGAGAGTGGCACCAAAATTCCCAAGTAAATTGCTGCTGCCAGCGTTGAGGAAGGGGATCTAGTATGCAATGAAAAACACTAGACTGCATAGAGATGTTTTTCTAGTTTTAATAATCTGAAGTGTTAGTAACATAAACATGTTTACTTATACTAAAGTGACAGTATGTCTTTAATTAGAACATTCCCCTGTGTTGTTCTAATAGTTAGAAGTGCCTGGTGTCAGAGGATGCAGGTTATCTTAGTTTGCACCTAGTGTATTATATGCAAGTATGAGTTTGTGTGTGGGGACATCGCCTAAAAGAAGGATCACTTCCAGACCTTGAGGCAGTGAATGCTCTTTGATCTCTACAATTCCTTGGAATTCTGTACATTTCATAGTTAAACACTTGTTAAGAAAAATCCAGTGGCTGTTTTAAGATTCCACACGGTATAGCACATGCAAGCCTGAAGATTTTTCAAGTGCTTTTTATTTTTACACAGACAACCTGAAAGGCACATTTAGTGCATGTCCCATCTTCAGTTTTCTTTTATACTTTGTTTAACATTCGGATTTTCAAAAGTTCTGCAAACATTCAGATCTCAACACAAACATGAAATACGTCTGCTCCAAGGATTTTTTTTAAAAGCTTTAGTTACCTGAAAGAGTTTAAAGTTGCTGTGCACTTTGAGTCTTAAAAGTATTGATGACATGATGCTTGTGTATATTGTAGCACACACACATACACAACTCTAGATGTTCATTTACATTTTTAGCTTTCAAAACTGAAATCTTTCAAATCCCGTTTTAATACAAGTTGCTTACTACCTTTGAACAGTTTCTGTGTACCCACAACAGCTTTTCCTCTCCCTCCCCGTTTTTTTGTTCTTTCAGTTCATGGTAACTCATGTTAATTCACAGTATGAAAATTCTCAGCTTGAGAGCTGGAATATATCAGGCCTGGTCTACACTACAGAGTTAGGTCAACGTAAAGCAGCCCATATCAAGCTAACTCTGTAAGTATTTACAGTACAGCATCGCTCCTGCGGTGTAAGTTGCCTACTACACTGACCTACTAACTCTACCTCTGCAAGAGGTGTAGTACTTAGATCAATATAGTTAGGATGACACAGTGCCCATATGGACTCTGTGTTACTTATATCACCTGTTGATTGTCAGCCTCATGTGGTACTCACAGCTGGAGAGCTGAAGCTCCTCCCACCCCTGCACCAAGGACAGCCAAGTGTGGCAGGACTCCATGGCTACGTCTACACTGGCATGATTTTCCGAAAATGCTTTTAACGGAAAACTTTTCCGTTAAAAGCATTTTCGGAAAAGCACGTCTAGATTGGCAGGATGCCATTTTCGCAATCGGGGCTTTTTTGCAGAAAACACTACTGTGCTGTTTACACTGGCCCTTTTGCGCAAAAGTCTTTCTGAAAAAGACTTTTGCCCAAATGGGAACAGCATAGTATTTCTGGAAAAGCACTGACGATCTTACATGAGATCGTTAGTGCTTTTCCGGAAATTCAAGCAGCCAGTGTAGACAGCTGGCAAGTTTTTCCGCAAAATCACATGATTTTGCGGAAAAACTTGCCACACTAGACACAGCCCATCTGTTATCCTGGCACAGGGATGACAACATAGGCTAATAGCCCGCCCCACTATCCCACTTCAGTTGGTGCAAGTGTTGAGGACATCCACCACTGGCAGAAGGAAGGTAGTGTGGTCATGAAAATGCAGTAATTATTGCAGAGGCTGCACATCAACCTAACATAGGTCAATATAATTTTGTAGTGAAGACAAGACCTCTGTGACTTTCCATTCACTTGTGATTCATCCTGGGGCACAAAGGCTTCAATTCTCATCACAATAGTTTTAGTGTGTGGCCAGGAAGAGACTCTCAGTAGCATCTATGACAAGGGATACAAGGAACTTGTTAGAGTAAGGAATGTTAAATGATACACACTTTTTTTCTTAAAATGTTTGTTAATACATCTTCACGTTTGTGTGTTTTATGTAATTTATGATTAAACAAAAAAATGATTTTTGTGTTATAGGTGGAATTACAACATTCGGCATAGAAATTTGTTTCTTGCAAATTATCTGATCTTATTAAATATTTTGTAATTCTACAAAATAAGATTTTTGTAGTTCAAGCAGGATAAGTTATAAATGAAATGGTTACTAAATAATTATCTTTTTATTTAACAGTACTTAACAACAGTCATTCCTTATGAGAAGAAAAGTGGACCCCCCTGTGTTGAAGATCTTCAAACATTAACTAAAAGTAAGCATATTTAAAATTCTCCTGCTGATCTTATGTCCCATTCCTAGTATTGCCAAACCAGAAGGCTGTGTCTACGCTGCGCCACTTATTCCGGAAAATCAGCCGCTTTTCCGGGATAAGCTGCGAGCTGTCTACACTGGCCCTTGAATTTCCGGAAAAGCAACGATGCTCTCCTGTACAAACTCAGCTGCTATTCCGGAAAAACTATTCTGCTCCCGCTCGGGCATAAGTCCTTATTCCGGAACACTGTTCCGGAAAAGGGCCAGTGTAGACAGTTCAGTAGTCTTTTCCGGAAAAAAGCCCCGATCGCGAAAATGGCGATCGGGGCTCTTTTCCGGAAAAGCCCGTCTACATTGGCCACAGACACTTTTCCGGAAAAAGGGCTTTTCCGGAAAAGCCCGTCTACATTGGCCACAGACACTTTTCCGGAAAAAGGGCTTTTCCGGAAAAGCCCGTCTACATTGGCCACAGACACTTTTCCGGAAAAAGGGCTTTTCCGGAAAAGCCCGTCTACATTGGCCACAGACACTTTTCCGGAAAAAGGGCTTTTCCGGAAAAGCAGCCTGCCAATGGAGACGCTCCTTTTCCGGAAAAACTGAAAACGGAATAGTATTCCGTTTTAAGCATTTCCGGAAATTCATGCCAGTATAGACACAGCCGAAGTGTTAAAAAATCATGAGAAAGATCCCCTCTCTTCCCCAAATCATATTACTATTTTTAAGCCATAATAAATGTTGAGTGGTTCTTGTTTTGTCTTTTGGTTTTTATGTCTCTAGAATGAACTCAGATAGTAGGGTTGGAGGTGGGGGTGGCACTGGCACTGAATGGAATGGGCATAGGGAGAGGTTGTCGGTGCAGTGGTCCGGGTGTTTTCCAGGGACTAGGTGGGTACATGGAGGGAAAGATGCACTGGGTGGGAGATACTGCTTGGGCTGGGGAGGGGCTGGTGGGGTGCAGCAGGTGAGAGGGGCGCTGCAGGGGCCAGGCACAAGGAGAGGTTGTTGGGGCACAGCAGGCAGGGGTGCGCTGCAGGGATCAGGCATGGGATGGGTGGTCAGGTTCAGGTGTCGCTGCAGTGGCCAGGTTGTTTTTGGATGGATGTTTGTTATTGTTGGTTTTTTTGTTTATTATTTTGTTTTGTTATGTTAAGTTGGTTTTGATTATTGATATTTTGTCAGCATCAACAGGCTTTCTCAGCGAAGCAAAAGTGACCGGGGGGGGGGGTTGGTGAGCGTAGCAAGCAGGGGGTGCTAGTTTCAACATAAAAAAAGTATTCTTGAATAGTCACATGCTAAGTTCCCTCTAAGCTGTGTGGCTGTGACAGGGAGAAATGCCTCTCCCCCCAGACCCGGATCTGCTGCAGCAAGGAGAGAGATCTCTCTTCTCAGCCCAGGTGCTGTTTGCAGGGGAGGGGCAGGAGTCCTCTCTCCCTGCCAAAGCCCTGGGGCAATCTGCATCCCAAATTCATCCTGCCCCCCCACTTCCCCCCCCCAGAGGCCACATCCCCATCCAGAGCACTCAACCCCTCTCACCCCAATCCTCTGCCCCAGCCCTGGGCTTTCTCCCACATGCCAAACTCTTTGGCCCAGCCCTGCCACACATCACCTCTATATTGGTACACATAACAAAATTGATTCCACACATATATGGGAAAAATTAGTGGGAACATTGGTCATATGATATTCAGATTCTCACATGAGCATTCCGGACCTTATTAAATGCTGCTACTCGCTACATGCTGTATTTCTGATTCTTTCATTCCTCTTGTGTGTGTTGAGAACACTTACAGAGGGATATACATCTCACCATTCACTAGTCGAGTATGGAGCAACAGACAATATAAGTAAGCCAGAGCAGTTAACAGAGGTTTTTCCTATAAAGTTTCACTGTTCCAGAGATCAACAATAGAAATATCTTTTCCGTATTCTGTGTTTTAGCTGCCTATTTCAAAACATAAAACAAGCATTGAATGTGAAAGTGGAATCTTCTCATTAATAGTTTGATCTCTTTTGGCTCTGACTCTAAATGCTTGCAAAAAAGTTCTACAGTTGGCAAGTTAACTAAATTGGATCCTTTGCCAGTAGATTGTTTAGTCTACTGTGGCTTGTGGTAGTTGTCCAGATTTTGAGAGCTATTTTCTTTTCAATTCTTTTCAAGAATTTTTTAAAATTCACTTTTCACTAATTATAGACAGTTAACACTGTTAGCTATCTTATATAGAATGAAATTTTTGCATAACTGGAATGAGAAAGCATTTTGCATTCCTTGAACCATGTGAATGTTTCCAAGAGATCTGAAACATTTTTCAGAAATAAATGTAGCATCCTCTTGGATGTTTTCTGAACCATTTTTACTGCAGTGCTCATTCAGTCTTTATAAATTAAATCCCTGTAGGTATGGATTTCTTTCACATTCCAGAAGTTCTTCCTTATAATAACTACCATTGATTGTAACAGAACTAAAGTGAAATCCTGATTGCTGAAATAGTTCTTATATAAGAGTTGACTTTCAGTATTACTAAACTAAATATGGAATCTTCACAATAATGTTTAGCTTTCTAATATTGCTAAGGGTCTAGCTAAAACAACTGAAATGAATCTATCAGAGTATTTAACTTTTAAGTGAATATTTTCAACTCCAGTATTTAATTACAAGTTGGACCTCTCTGGTCTGGCACCTTTGGGACCTGTCCGATCCCGGATGATTTTGCCAGATCAGGGGAGGTCATTTCTGGCCCCAATGCTTCCCCCTCTTGCTGGCCCATACTGCCCTTTCAGCTCACGTTGCCTTCCTGGGCAGTCCCACCACCTCTGTGAGCGCCTGGCTCCTGTTGCAGCACCCAGCAGCCCTACCGCTTCTATGCTTCAGGCTCCAGCTGCAGTGCCCAGCAGCCCTGCTGCTTCTGGACATGCTGGGCTCCCACTGCCCTCCTGGAAAGCCCCCCTTCTGTGTGCTGGGCTCCTGCTGCTCTGCCAGCCTGCAGGGTTCCCAGCGCTAGCTCTCCACTGGAACATTTTTGGTCCTTCCAGACCACGGATGTTGCTGGATGAGAGAGTCCCAGTTAAGAGAGTTTCAACCTATACCTCATTTTAAAAACAATGAATTAAAATATCTCAATTTTGGTAAAGATTCTGCTACGTCAGGCTTTGCCATATAAAAGGTTATGAAGCTGGTGGGTTTTTTATATATTACAAAGAAAAGGTCAGCATATTAAATATAAGAAATTAAAGTATGATATATATTACGCTTAAACACACAAACCCCATAGGAAAAGTTGATGGGTTTGGTAGTAAACAGGACATTTTTCAAATGTCATGCACCTAATTGCCATTGATATTAACTGCAGTTTGTGTCATTGGAAATTTCCCCCTTATCTTTGAAGTTGTAGACACTTTTTTACTTACTTTCATCCTCCTTTTCCTCTTTCTACCTTTTACCCACAACTGTAGTATGATTCTTACATGGATACTCATCAGTCTTTCAATACTGTTCACACCTTCTTTAGATCAAGATCTTGTGGCTTAATCTTAGTCTTTACTAAATGTTTTGTCAACTTGCCTTTTTTAGGTAAGAGGAGAATTCACAACAATTACAGATTCTTTATTCCAACTTCATATCTTGTCCATATGCAAATCTGAATGTTTATCCTCTGCAGAAAACTTGTCTCAGAATTGTCCATACTTATTTATAAAATTTGTCTTATAAATGGCATTATTAGTAAAACTGTATTTTGTCAAAGTCAGTTCCATACACAGTCAGGTTTTGGATATCTTCCCTGGGCCATTGCTGCACAGTCATTGTTTTCAAATACACATTTTCATCCGTGAATTTTACATACAATGTTTCAGTAGAAAGGATTCTGATATTCTTCTGCATTATCACTGTTTGAATGGAGACGAGTGGAAAAACCAGTTGATGGAAACATCTCTTTTTTTCCTGATGGCTGCAATCCTAATGAAATTAGCAACTACAATAGTTCAGTTTTAGTCTGTGCCCTTACAAGGAATTTTTCATGACTGAAGACTGTCAGAAAGGAAAATCACCACTTTGTATGAATGTTGGTATGTTCTTCCACCTCATTTCCCAAATGCTTGATGGCTGTGACTGCAGTCACAGATTCTTCCCCAGTAGATGAGGAAAGATGATGGCACAATTATTGTTTGTAGCCTTATCTAAAGATGAAATAATACATAACCTGGTGACTCTTACAGAACTTCTGTAGCTTCACAACTGAAGGCAAATTTAGCCTGTTAAAACACAGTGTTAGGGGGGAAAATATGAAAAAATACTGAAACATTAAAGAATTCATAATTTCAGTATCCTGTTAGAAATCTTTCCTCATTGTACAGATCTAGGTTTAAAACTCCAAAACAATATTGAGAGCTGCTAAGTGGAATAAGAAACATTGATACCATGTTCTTTTGTTTTATTTACTGTTTATATTGATTTTTATAATAAAAGTGCTCTGAAATACATGAGAAACAAAAACACCTATGTCATTACAGAAAAAATTCAGAGTGATTTTTTTGAAAAAAAAAAATGGTCCTTTTTGAGTAATTCTATGCATACACTATTGATTCGAGTTTGAATTATACATAAGTAGCTAAAGTATCTTCAGTGTGGTTTTTCAATAGGGATATCTTTAAGACTAACAATCTCAGTTGTTGCTTTTACTCTTCCACCCTTCCCATCTCATACTTTTCAGTCCTTCATGCTATGAAAGAGGACAGTGAGAAAGTGCCAAGCTTATTAACAGACTACATTTTAAAGGGTGAGTATGCCTGTTAATATGCATCCGGTAGCTGGGATCTTTTAATATGACGCATATGAAATATATGATGTGATAACACTGTTCTTGAGGCATTCATGAATTAATAGGTCTGTATTGCCTTCTATTCAAACTATGCTTTCATTTTATGTGCCTTGAGGCCCCCAAGCATGTCACATCATGAATAAAACATTGTGATGGTAATTTCTTTTGTGATGGTGTAAAGCACATTACAAAGAACACCATAGGACATTATAGTATCAAAACGAAATAATTTAAGGGCTAGTTTACAAAGTAACATACATGTAGTTCAAAATGTATTTATTAGACAGATATTTCTGAAACAATAAACTACTTAAATAATCTGTGGAAATAATGTACATTGTTTATACAGGGTTTGTAATCTTGTATAAATTTGAAATTTTCCTTCTGGTCACTCTTAAATATAAAAACAATCATACTGGGTCAGAGCAGTGGTCCATTTAGACCAGTGTCCTGTCTTCTGACCCCAGAACAATGATTTAAATGAAGAAAAAAAATTATTTGAGTTAAGGACCTGAGTAACACTGGATAAATCCTCTAGTATTTAGTAAATTTCAGTTGGTGTTTTATTGTTTAACAGTGTGATTAATCACAATTACATTTTTGAATGAATTGTGTGACTTAATTGTAATTAATGGACATTTCTATGTAGCACCAATAGTGAACAGAATGGACTAGCCAAATGAGTACAGTTCTCCCAGGGAATGTGTCTATGTACTTGGGTGGCTAGCCTGTGTTGCAGCCCATGCAGCCATGGCTTCACTGCTGTTGATATTCACGCTGTCTTGGCTAGATCTGTATCATGGACTGCAGTCACACCTCCAAGTGTAGTATAAACATATCCAGAATGTTCTCAGACGTTAGTCGGTTATCTGGCATATAGACAGTTCTTTCAAAGGATTATTAATGGAGGATTAGATCTTTTTAAACAATCTATTTAGGCAAGCTTTGATGTTGCAGTGCCTCTGAGCCATTTACTGCTCTCATTAACCATTCTTGTATAAGAATTTCAACTTCATTCCTGAATTTCAAGGTATTTTTTAGATCTAGAATGGAAATATTAATATGAATTTCAATCAGATATTGCCTAGCCTGCATTCCAGATGTGTTTAAATCTTTTGAATTTGATTGAGAGACAAGGTGGGTGAGGTAATGTATTCTATTGGAACATTTTCTGTTGGTGAAAGAGACAAGCTTTCATACTTACACAACTCATCTTCAGGTCTGGGAAAGGTAATTTTGGAGAGTACTAACACTGCAGTAGATACATGCAGCTGGTTCATGCCATATGACTCAGGCTTATAGGGCTCACACTAAAAGGCTGTTTGCTTCTGGTGTAGAAGTCCGGCCTCAGACTTCTGTGTGGTGGGAGAATTTCAGATCTTGGGCAGCAAGCCTGAGCCTGCACATCTGTCTGCAGTTAAACAGGCCTTTAGCTCAAGCCCTGGAAATCCAAGTGAGCTGACACAGGCCAAGCAGGGTTGTTTAATTGCAGTGCAGACACACACAGAATGTCACAGCTAAATCCAAGGTAAAATAGATGATTTAGCAAAAATAGTTAACACCTCTGCTATCATTGAACAATAAGGGGGATTAGCGGATTACACATTGTTCTGCTAAACCATACATTCTCTTTCAATCTCAAACCAGGATGGAGGAAGCAGAAGTGTAAGATGATAGTGATCTGAAGGAGAGGGATGCATTTAGTGGCAGGAAAAATCTATATTAATGAATCAAGATCAAGATTTTTAAAAATTCAATTAAAGAAAGAGATGTCATCAGTTTGAAATTGGCAATTTCAAATAATAAGTTAAAAGTATTTTCTGGTGCTATATCTTCTCCACAATTAATCTACCAAGTACAGGCAGTCCCCGAGTTACGCGGATCCGACTTATGTCAGATCCGCAGTTACGAACGGGGCTTTTCTCGCCCCGGAGGACGGGAGCGGCGGGATGCCCAGATGCGCCGCGGTCCACCGCCCCCGTCCTCCGGGGCGAGAAAAGCTGCTCCCCATCTCCCTGGTCTGCAAGGAGATGGGGAGCAAAGCCTTGGAGCACGCCCGCAGCGGGACAGCCCGGGCGCGCTTGAGCTGTCCCCCTGCGGGCA